GCCAGGGTCCCCGCCCTCGGCCAGCACCCATCCTACATTGCACCCGACCCCTTTGGCTCCTCCCACAGGTGGTGAGCCCATCGGAAGGGGGACCCACGTCTCCTCTTTGTGCTGTGCCCGGCCAAGCTCCATGAGTAAAAGCTTGGCCACCAGGCACTCGCCCGCATGCCCTACCTCCAGGCCTGGCTCCAGAGTGGGGCCCCGGTGACCCACGTCCGGGCGAGGGAACATCAAGTGCATTTTTTTCTCATCATAGGGGTCTTTGGGCTGCACTTTGTCTGGCCCTTCACCTAGGACCTGTCTGCCTTGGGTGACCATACTAGGGGCATAAAGCCCCTGACAGCATAGCTCCTATGATCAATGGGACATTCAAACCCCTCCACCACAGTAAGGTGGCAGCCCAGGGAGGGGATTCTAGATTCTAGATTCTAGAACATCATCAGCTAAAAATACGCTAAGCTCTAATAGCATAAAAACAAACACAATACACTGAACAGCAGCACAAACATGATTATGTGTGAGCAGATGAGTACTAATGAACACAGCAACATGAAACAGATCAACAGCAACATCATGTGATTTTTTCACAGTGATTATTCTGGTTAGTGGGAGAGTCTGCATGAGTCTAACAGCCTCAGGGTAGAAGCTGTTCCTCAGTCTAGTGGTTCCACACTTAATGCTCCTTAACCTCCTTCCTGAGAGGAGCGGGGTAAAACGTGTGTGTGCTGGGTGAGTGGGGTCCTTCATGATGCAGGTGGCCCTCTTCCTGCATCTAGAGGTGTAAATGTCTGTGATGGTGGGGAGACTGACACTATCAGTCTTCTGTGCAGCCTTCACCACTCTCTGCAAAGCTTTTCTTTCTGCAGCTGTGCAGCCTCCGTGCCACACGTTGATGCTGGAGCACAGGATGCTCTCCACTGCACACCTGTATAAGGAGGTGAGGACTGAGCTTCCCAGACCAGCTCGTCTCAGCCACCTGAGGAAGTAGAGTCTCTTATACACATGGGCGTCAGAAGCATCTGTGGGGTGGGGGGGGGGGGGGGGACACTATGTGTGCTCGTGCGCGTGTGCGTGCGCGTGCACACGCAAATTTGTATTAAAAAAAGCAACATTTCATCTAGAATTCCTTACTTTAATTCCTTTTAAAACATGTTTCTCACTAAGTTTGTGTAAATTCAGTTCTTTTAAAGACATTTCAACTTTAATGCACTTTAACACACAGCATCAGGTCGGCACTATTTGTGTTTATGGAGAAAAAACGTCACCACTGGACTTTTTTAATTGTGTTCAAGGCTACTCATCTAAATGATGTTTCGCACAAAGCTTTAGGACAATAGGTGTGGGGTTTTAAAGATATTTCAATTTTAATTCACCTGAACACAGCGTCTCTTACACCTGCAGCGTCTTACAGCATCACAGCTACTGCTAAGCTAAGATGGACGCTTCCCTCAAGCATCCTCCTAACATGAATATATGTTTACGATCAAGCCCCCGGTCAACAACTGCCCGCACTAAGCTCGCTAAGCTGGTGAGTGATCAACACAGAGGTGTCTCATTCTCCTCCACCTGTGAGCGATCTTTGCCAAGGCAGGAGGAGACACACAGAAACACTGCAGGCTGCTTGAGAGTTGGCGTTAACCAGGAAAACCTGGAGTCGATTTTTAAAGGTTTGAGTATTCTCTTATTGATCAAGTGGAATGGATTCATTCACGAAGAAGGAGAAACTGCGCTGACAGAACTAATGTTTTATAGTAAAATTGGGGGGTCCAAATGAAAGTTTTTTTAATGTGTGGGGGGGGGGGGGGGACACATCCCCTGCACATATAATGGTTGTGACGCCTATGCTTATACATTATTTCCATTTTGACTGTAAATCAGGGTACAAATGGTCAGTATACACCATCCATCCATCTTCTCTCCCCACTTCTTCCTTACTGGGTCGTGGCTGGGCTGGTGCCCATATCCAACAGCCACTGTGCGAGAGATGGGGGACACCCTGGACAGGTTGCAAGTCCATCACAGGGACACATAGAGACAAGACAAACAACCATTAACTCTCTCACTCTCACCTAGGCACAATTTAGAGTTACCAATCAACCTAATATTTTTTTTCACTAATTCAACCTTTATTTAGACAGGTTAATCCCTTTGAGCCTTGGGGACTCATTTACAAGAGAAGCCTGATTTTAACAAAGAGTGATGACAACAGTGGATAACAACGACAACAATAAACAATCATAAAGAGGCATACACATTTTTTTTTTACAAATTAAAATAAAATGGCAACCAAAAGGACAGTCAAAAAGAAAAAAGTAGCGGAAAAAAACAGCTAATTATAAGTCGCTGTAGAAAACTAAAAACAGGAACATGTATGCATTGGGTTTTGACAGGAACTTAGCAGATATTTGAAGCCACTTAGACAAGTCAAGGTCAAGAGCTTCAGATGTTTTTGCAAGATATTCCAGGAAACAGGATCGGAGTAGGAGAAAGCCCTTTTGCCTCGTTCAGTCTTCACAGCTGTAGTGAACTAGGCCTCCGACCACAACCTGTCTCTGAAGACCTTCATGGGACAGGAACTGTTATTTCATTGATTTGAATCCAGAAATACAAATTATCTCATCAAGAGACTATTTATGTATCCTGAATTAATCAATTGAAAGAACACTTATTTTTGATTATCAAGATATTCTAAAATAGTAATGATAATGTAAAAAGAAGAGTGTTCTTTCAATTGATTAATTCAGGATACATAAATAGTCTCTGGATGAGATAATTTGTATTTCTGGATTCAAATCAATGAAATAACAGTTCCTATCCCATGAAGGTCTTCAGAGATAGGTTGTGGTCGGAGGCCTAGTTCACTACACAGCGCAGGCTGTAGCTGCACTTATGCAGAGACGTAGGAGGAGATGTATGAAGGCTGCAGACCAAGAAGTGATTTAAAGGTGAAAATGTATCAGTGGGAGAGTCTGCGTGAAGTTAATGATGTCCAGTTAACAAGTGAATACAGGGTACAGTGGTGGGTACGATAATCACAGCCAGTTAAGAATCTTAGTGCACCATGGTAGGCACCATCTGCAGGGTGCAACATGCATGTTTTTGGTCTGTGGGAGGAAACTGGAGTACCCGGAGAAAACCCATGCATGCACGGAGAGAACATACAGAAAAGTTCCTGGCTGGGATTGGCCCCAGCAACCTTTTTGCTGCGAGGCAGCAGCTCTACCACCATTTCACCCCAGTATAAACTGGCTTACTGAAAATATAACTTCAATATTAGGAACAAATTTTCTTGAAGAAACAAGTCTAGCAAACTATTTTCCTATTTTATGGTTAAAACCTAAATTCTAAACAGTGAGTCAGTATATCAGCTTGACACACATTTACTTATAAATGGTAAATGGTAAATAGACTACTTACAGGTATATAGTGCCTTTCTATCTTCTTTCAAGATACTCAAAGCGCTTTACACTACAATCTGTGTCCTCATTTACCCATTCATACAGCACTCTACTAGATCTCTACAAAGCTAATTGAACAAATCATTCTAATGAGACTAATCAATGCTTTAGATCACATTCATACACTGATGAGACACACATCAGAGGCTTTGAGGGGTTCAGTGTCTTGCCCAGGGTCACTTCAACATGTGACTGCTGGTGGATTCGAACCCCAACTCTCGCATTGGAGGACGACTGTTCTAACCACTCAGCCACAGCCGCCCTTTAAGTGTGTTATTTAAGGCCTAAATATTTTCAAAATTAAGAGGAAAAGCATGGACTTTGTTGTTTTCAACCAGTTTGACACGACTGCCATCAAGGAAGAAGGCCGGCAATGGAGGAGGGGGCATGACAAAGAGACCAATTTATCACCAACATAACTGGTTTGTTCCACTTTGGAGTAAGCTGTTGGGGGAAGAATCTGTTTTGTGTTGTGTGTTTCCTTGACTGATGAAGCCTTCTGGATCAAAGGCGAAACGTTTCAGCACAAAAAAAGAAACTGTCTAGATGACCTGACTGAAAAATGTTGAATTGTATACCTGGATTATTGAGCATGGACTTTGCTGTTAAGAGGAAAAAGACCACAATTTAAACACAAATGTTTGAGTGGAATTAGTTACAACACTGGGAGCGGAGCTCTAGCTAGACAAGGTAGACGTAAAAGTACTTAAATTCTTCTCAAATGCTTGAAGTGCAGCTTTGTAGTGGTTTGGTTTGAGGGGTTATATCACTTGCTAATTTTGTTCTGGTAGTGGTAGAGTGCCAAGTTGGTGCTTTGAACCCTAGGACTTAGTTGGAGTCTCATTACATCTCCTCTCCTGTTTTCACATCATGCATACAATGTTTGTTTGTTCTTGGACTGATGACACAGCTACAGAACACTCGAGGTGTTAACGGCCTGTAGCTTGGTCATGTAAACAGTACACAGATAGAGGTATAGCGCATACCAAGACCTTCTTTCAGCCTTTCCCTCTTGCCACAGCGAGTCGTCCTCCTCCATCTCACTCATACAGAACATACCAAGATGGCAGCTGTAAATCTCACCTACAGCCTTCAGTCACCATTTCTATGATTATTACCCTTAAATATTACTTTATATCAGATATTTTGACCAGAAATAACAAGACTGTCTCAAGTATATTGAGGGGGTTCATTCCCCCTGCTCTGTTCTTACTGGTTCTCTGTGGAACATGATCAGAAACAAAACTTTGATTTTACGTAACGTTCCACATGTCATAGAAGTCATCACCACACTACTTTGTGCCTTCTTGTTTCTTTTTTTTACATTTACATTCCAGAAAGATTTTTTTTTTAATGTATCTGTTTCTAAAATCTTTGTCTGCTTGTCAGAGTAGCCCCATTTTGTGTTTTATGTTTGTATTAATGGTAAATGAACTTATTTAAGAAATATTTAATTAATACCAAAAATTAATCATCATGTTAATAATCCTGCAAGCTTTCTTCTGTTTGAGTAAATCTCCTGTTTGTTTCTGATTCCTTCAGAGAAACACTGTTTACAGCTTTACTGGCTGTCTGAAGAACCTCCAGCTGGATGGACACCAGCTGTCCTCTGTAGCAGAGACATTTGGGGTCACACCTTGCTTTGAGGGCCAATCTGAGGCAGGAACATACTTCTCAGAAGAAGGAGGATACGTCGTCCTGGGTCTGTTTCCAGCAGCTTTACACAAGTTTTTTCACTCATTACATGACATTTCACATTGATCATTTCAAAGTGTTTTCTGTCCCTGTCCCAGAGCAATGAGGGGGAATTAGAAATAATCTCGGTCTGTCCGTCCATGTGTGCACGTTGAGAGCATAACTTGAAAAATAAGTTAGACACAAACTTCCATTTTGGTGTGTGGCTGCATGTAGCTGCTGGAAAGGTCAATATCAAAAATTGAGTTGCCATGTCAAACAAGATGGCCATTGCTATATGCACGTGTGTGGTATTTGAACACCCTGCGACTTTGCAAGTTCTCCCATTTAGAAATCATGGAGGGGTCTGAAATTTTCATCTTAGGGTGCATTCACACCTGATAGTCCGGTAGATTCGGTTAGGTTGGGGACCAATATTCATGACATTTTGTTTACATTTGAGCTGGTGCGTTTGCATTCACACTGCACTGTGCAGACGAGCCAACCTGTTGAACCAACCTATTCCCCCGCTCGCCTGTGGGGGCGCTGCACCAAGAACTACTGAAAGAAACAACACAAAAACCTCTGAAGACACTTCTTCTTCTTCTGGAAATAAAAACAAAAATAGAGTGGCATCAAGTTTTAGCAGTTTTAGGAGTTATATTTTGTCATTTTTCAAAAATGGACTCAGCATGAGCAGAAGATGAGGCAGAAGACCATAGAGAATATTGTTTTTCACACAAAGCAGCTAACGGCTCCATATAAGGTAAGAGAAATGCGTGTTTGTTTGCCCTGCGTTGTACTCAACTTCTTGCTTGTGGAGCGGGGCCGGTCTGTTTACATTCACACTGTACTCGAACCGTGCTGGAGTTCTCTTCTACTGGACTGAGACCTGACCAGCCCGGGCCAGAGGTCACCTTTTTTTTCCATGACAGAGTTCGATGGCGCGTTCACACCTCCCCAAATGAACCGGACTTTCTAGGAAAACGAGCAAGAGTTCGATGAAAGTGGACTAAACAAGGCTGGTGTGAATGCACCCTTAGGTGCATGTCCACTGTGAGAGACATGATCTAAAAAATAAATCCTGAAATCACAATGCATGAGTTTTTAACAATTTATTTTTGTGTTACTGCTGCAAATAAGTATTTGAACACCTGTGAAAATCAACGTTAATAATTGGTACAGTAGTCTTTGTTTGCAATTACAGAGGTGAAACTTTTCCTGTAGTTTTTCACAAGGTTTGCACACACTGCAGCAGGGATTTTGACACATTCCTCCTCACAGATCTTCTCTAGGTCAGCCAGGTTTCTGGGCTGTCGCTGAGAAACACTGAATTTGAGCTCCATCCAAAGATTTTCTATAGGGTTTAGGTCTGGAGACTGGCTAGGCCACTCCACAACCATGATATGCTTCTTACGGAGCCACTCCTTGGTTGTCCCGGCTGTGTGCTTCGGGTCATTGTCATGTTGGAAGACCCAGCCACGACCCATCTTCAATGCTCTGAGGGAAGGAGGTTGTTCCCCAAAATCTCGCAATACATGGCCCCGGTCATCCTCTCCTTAATACAGTGCCGTTGTCCTGTCCCATGTGCAGAAAAACACCCCCAAAGCATGATGCTTCCTCCCCCAGGCTTCACAGTAGGGATGGTGTTTTTGGGATGGTACGCATCATTCTTCGTCCTCCAAACACGGCGAGTGGAATTAAGATCAAAAAGTTCTATTTTGGTCTAATCTGACCACATAATGTTCTCCCATGACACCTCTGGATCATCCAAATGTTCATGGGCAAACTTAAGACGGGCCTGGACGTGTGGTGATTTAAGCAGGAGAACCTTCCGTGCCATGCATGATTTTAAACTATGACGTCTTAGTGTATTACCCACAGTAACCTTGGAAACAGTGTGCCAGCTCTCTTCAGGTCATTGACCAGCTCCTCCCGTGTAGTTCTGGGCTGATTCCTCACCTTTCTTAGGATCATTGATATGCCACGAGGTGAGCTCTTGCATGGAGCCCCAGTCCAAGGGATATTGACAGTCATGTGTGACTCACTACACCAGTTTGTAGTGAGTCACGTGGGTACGTGTCACTTGTTGTATGGCAAATATATGAAATATATATGCATACAATATTCACGAGTTCTTCATTTTTCTGACTGTGTAATGCCGTGCATTGAATTTAACAGAAATGCGAACGAGAGACGT